TTTCATGTGAGGGATCATGCCATTGCTGATCTTTTGGTTGGGGTACAGTTGATAAGCTTCCAAGGAAACCAAGGTTTCTTGGAATACTGTTTTGAAAACAACTAGCAGAGTGCATCTGGAATACATCTAGAGTAACACATCCCTCTGAATTTTAATCACAATGTTTTACTTATTTCAGAGAGGCTGGCAACAAACAGACAAAGTACTCTGGATGGAGAAACTCCTTTTTTCTTTCTTTTTCTCTCCATGTATTTTTTTTGTAAATATACTTCAAAGCTCAGTGTGAGATTAGCGGTTATGTGATCCAGTGTGCAAAAGAGTCTGTAGTATTATTCCCTTAGTTTTACTGTAGCCCTTTGTGATGGACTCCAGCTTAGATGAGGAGGAAGAGCTGGTTTCAGAGCTATCCTAGGAGTAGTATAGGGAGCATCAGGGAAAGCTCTGTGCTCGAGGTAAGACATAGTAACAGTGGAGAATAGGGCGATTGTGGTGAAGCAATTCCTAGAATGTTGGTGGAATCTGGGAGAGAGGGGCTTGGCCAATCCAGAGAGGTCATGCAGCTGCAAACAGTCAGCGTGGATAAGGAGGAGTTGCTGCCTCTTCCCAATCCAAGGACATGCAAGGCCCAGAGGAGAAGGGCGCAGTAGAGATTGGTGAGATTAATCACAAGGAGATAGCCTCACCCCTTTTAATGAGGTGCACTGGTTGGTGCCTACTTAACTAGGATCTTGAACTTGGTTGGAGTTGCAGGAGACTACTCATACTCTAACTCACCATGAATGTTTGGAACCCTTTTGTTCTTTGTTGTGTCTTGGACCTGTTGGAGTCGTGCTTGCCTTTGTTTAACTCAGTGATGTCTTGTTTGCCTTCATCTGGCTTCCACTCATTGGAGGCATGTTTGCCTCTGCCTTGCCTGAACTGATGGGAGCTGTGGTTACTTTTGTTGAGCTGTGATCCAACGGGATTAGGGCTACTCTCAGGTGCTGTGACTTGAATTAAATAGAGCATCTTATGTGGAAATCTGGGGAAAGTTCAGGGTAACTTTCAATATAAACCACTCCAAACTTGATTGCAGAAAGTACAACTTCAGCAACAGAGCGGTCAATGCTGGAATGTACTACCTGACTCTGTTGTTACCTCCTCTATCCCCCACTCCTTTAACCTCAAACTATCCACTATTGACCTCACCCCATTCCTAAGAAGTCTGTCAGGGGCCTGCATAAGTGCACAATTGCGCCAATAGTCTCTGTCCTTTTGTCTCCATTTACCTATTTCCTGTATTCTTACTCATGTTTATACTGATACCTATTATCTTGTAAGTGATTGACAAATCAAATAAATAAACCAAATATATAAATAAAATAGTTGTATAAACAAACATAGCTAACTCCTTATAGTGTGCATGTGCTTGCGGACTGGGGCAGTACACCCTTAATGAGCACCCAAGTTTCTGAAGGATTTGATTTCGACACCCTACCCAGGGGAAATTATAAGCAAAACATTGTGAAAAAATTCTCTTGTAATTTCTGTTTTATTTCTGTTTATTTTTCTACTGCTTTCTTGTTCATCTTCTGCTATGTTTCATTATTACATGATGTCCATGATATTCATGGCACCTAATACTGACCATTCATGTGTACCAACCTAATTTATGCTGGAACATCTGATGTATCATATAAAACATGATTTGAAGAATAGTATGTTGTACAGTTGATTTGAGGGACATAGGTAACATCAGAAGCCAATACAATGAAGTAGATTTCTTTCAGTACATTTCAATATATAAATAGTAAGTACACACTAGAAACATAGCTGTTAGAAAAATGTTGAATATCTAGTCATAAGGCAGCCAATGAAATTTTATTTTTCCTTCAGTTGCTTCCAATCCTCTGCGCCCCACTGGTTATCACTTGGCAAGGTCAGTCTGTCAGTAACAGCACCTCTGACTTCTAAGAAACTCTCGTTCATGGTGTCAGTGATTGTATCTCGGAGGCATCTTATCTTCTGTCAGTTTCTTGATTGCCTTTGATTTTTCCAAGCATCAACATATTCTCCAATAACTCTTGACTGCACATTATGTGTCTGAAATATCTCAACTTAAGCTTCCAATGAATAATCTAGTTTCCTTCATCTAGTATTGAATGTTTTGTTCTTGCTGCAGTCCAAGGTCTTTTCCCACCATTTTCGGCAGTGCCACACAATTCAAAAGCATTGATTTTCCTTCCTTCGGCCTTTCTAAGGATCCAGCTTTCATAGCCAAGTGCTACAGTTGGAAAACCTACAGCCTTGATAATACCTATCTTTGTTATCAATATAACATTTCTGCATTTCAATATTTTGTGCAGATCTGTCATAAACTTTCTCCTAGGTAGCAAATTTTGTTTCATGTCATCAGTCTTCTGATTTAAAAAAAATGGTCAAAAAGATAAAAGTCTTACTATTGTTCCAAGTTCTCTGTCTCTTGGCTTTGGTTTGGCATTGCTACTCACACAATCTTAGCTTTCTTTTTAAATATTTAATGCTAAAGAGCCAGCCGGCCTTGAAGGCTCTTTTTTTATTTTCAGCATGAGCTTCCTTAAATCTTATTTACTGTACTCTAGTCATGAAAATTATATTAACAGCATATCTGTGGTTATTAACCTTAATTTCTACTTCTTTTAGTTAAATATTTCTAACGGTATATTTTTTAATAAATCAGGTAGATAAGCTTACAGCAAACAACCCTGGTACAGGTAGTCCTCAACTTATAACAGTTCATTTAGAGACCATTCAAAGTTACAAAGGCATTGAAAAAAGGGACTTATGACAGTTTTTTCACAGTTATGACCTTTCCAGCATCCCCATGATCACGTGATAAAAATTCAGGAGCTTGGCAACCAGTTCATATTTATGACCGTTGGTGCGTCCCAAGCTCAGGTGATCTGCTTTTGCAACCTTCTGACAAGCAAAGTCAATGGGGAAGCCAGATTCACTTAACAACCAGGTTACTAACTTATCAACTGCAGTGATTCACTTAATAGCTGTGGCAGCAAAGGTCGTAAAATGGGGTAAAACTCATTTAACAAATGTCTCACTTAACAATAGAAATGTTGGGGTCAATTGGGGTCATAAGTTGAGGACTACCTGTATATCATTTCCCAATATTGAATCAATTAATGCTGTTCTGTTATCACAAAGTCTTCAGTAGCAAATGAGATATACCTAATATACTCACGTTTGTAAGGACTATTTAAACTAGATAATGAGTTTAAAATATTCCCAGTCTTCCTTCTATATTACTAAAGAACTGCACGATCATATTTATGTAATCATCAGAGGAATGTTTTTACTTTTATTATTATATTAAGACTTGATTACTGTAATACTCAGAGTTTCTACTACTGTCTCCAGTGACAAATACATAAATCTAGCTAATTGATTTACATGCTGTTGATCACTAAGCTGGTACTGATTTTTCCTGATCAGGTAGATAGATTTTCTCCATCATGCCCTGTCTCTAAGCTGGTTTTTTAAGTCTTCCAATGATATATATGCTTTCCCTTATTGCACATTTTTTGGTCATTATTTTTCATAGATTTTGAATATGTAAATTTTAATACCTCATTTTTCCAACCCTGAGTTCCTTTCCTTGCATTCACTATATTCAAAAAGCAAATTTCTTATGAAAACAGGTACATATTTTATGTATAATTCTATCCAAACTTTTGCAGGAAATTTGGCTTACTTAAGGTTTTTTTAATGTAGTTTTACAAAATGTAAATAGTTTGCTTCTATTGATGAATTTGAAAATATTTCTTTATTCTATGTATTACTATCTTTTTAAAAAAAAATTCCCATTCTTTTTATGGTAGTAGTGTGAACAGTTCAGAAAAACTAACTGAATGATAACTGCATTGCTTATTCCTGATTTAGTTTGGCATATTCAAATTAAAAACATTACATTAATATGGGAAGCAAACCAGTTTCTTCTCCATTACTTGTATCAGGTATATAGTATATAGAATTTAGGAACTATATTATTATTGATGAGTTATTTGTCCTGTTTAACAGAAAAAAGTGTATGAAAAGAGTAGTAGATAAAACTAAATGCCAGAACCGGACTACTAGGTTCCAATACAGGTGGTCCTTAACAACAATTTGTTTAGTTACAACAGCACTGGAAAAAAGATTACTTATGATCCTTTCTCACACTTACAACTGTTGCAGCATCCCCATAGTCACATGATCAGGGTTCAGATGCTTGGCAACTGGTTCATATTTATGACAGTTGCAGGGTCCTGGGGTCATGTGATCCCCTTTTGCAACCTTGTGACAAGCTAAGTCAATTTTGCAACCTTGTGACAAGCTAAGTCAGATTCACTTAACAACCTTATCACTAACTTAATAACTGCAGGGTTTCAACAACTGTGGTAAGAAACGTCATAAAAGAAGGCAAAACTCACTTAAAAAATGTCTCACGTAACAACAGAAATTTTGTGCTCAGTTCTGGCCGTAAGTTGAGGACTACCTGTATAGTGGTTCTTAAAATTTTTGACTGAATTCCCCTTACCTTCATCCTGAATAATGTCATTTCTCTCTCCTTCTCCTTATCTCTCCATCTTCCCCTCCCCCACTTTTCCTTTTTACACATAGCCATCCACCCACTCCTACCCCCACACCAGATATTTGTTATTTTTCATAAACATCTCCACAGAGGCAACCCTATATGGAAACCTTGATTTACAAACAGTATATTACAAATTGCTCCATTACTCCCAGAATATACCCAAATTAACCTGCATCCATCTTGCAAAGGGCTTGTAACATATTATAGTACTTAATATGTTTCTGTAGATCTGCCGTTCTGCATCATATTGTAATGGAGGAACAATTTATCTCTCCGTTTTCCCATTTCCAGGTCAGACAACTGCTATTTGTATGCCTATTATAAAAATAAGAAAATAATATACTACCATAGTAACATTTCTCTCTTCCTCTTTTTTTTCTGTCCCTTTTAATAGTTATATTGCAAACCAGCGGGATTTAGAAAGCATAAATGAAATAGATGTTGGATTGTACACTGGATTAAGAAATTTGTGAGTATATATTCTAATTTTAATCTAATTTATTATAAATGACATATTTTGCCCACTTTGTGTAAGCTTTATAGTGGAATGTACTGAGGTCTTACTTGGGCCATTGTCTTCATTTATTTCATTTAAATGAAGCAACTCTGTATATTCATGGATGCAATTCATGAAGCTAAGAATAATGGGTAATTATAGCAAATAGAAAATTTTATCACATGCATTACAGATTGTTGAATTGGGGAAATAAAATAACAATTCTTAAACCACAATTTATTCTGAAATTCCTTGAGCTATGTGCTATACTCTCCATAAATACATGAATGGATGATACATCACTCAGTCATTGTAACTTGTGCTTGTGTACTTTACAGAACTGTGGTGGACTCAGGCTTGAAGTTTGTCTCACGCCAAGCTTTCCTGAAAAATATTAATCTACAGTACATGTAAGTGAAAACCCACTTTATGACTTTAGAACAAGCAGGATAATTTAATTACCAGTGGGGACTTAAAATATTGTCTTCCATACTATATTGCTGGATTCAAGCTTGTGGCTGGTTGCCACGTTGTAGAATATATCACTGTTGTTGTTCAGTCGCTAAGTTATGTCTAACTTTTCCTGATTCCCATGGACCACCTATCACTGCATACAAGAGCAAAAAGAATCTGGAAAAAGACAAATATATTAGGGGCAAATATTTTTTTAAACTTCTTGGTTATTGGTGATTGCCAATCAATGTGCCTCTTCCCCCCAAACAGTATAATATAGTATACCCAGGCACCGCTCCTCCCATATATGTTTCTTACACAGATATACACACTCAGTTACAAAGGTATTGTGCCCATTGCAGTGGTACTGGGTATAATCCACTTTTAGTTGTTAGGGAATGCAAGCTGGATGATGTATCGGAATTCCAGAAGTTCATGTCTTCATATGGACTTCTGACTGACCATTATAAGATTAAGTTGACTAGAAGACCCTTTGAACTAAACCAACAACTCTCTTCTGGCTAATTATGTATCTGTCTCCTGGCCTAAAATCCTCCTCCCATTTGAGAGTATTATAAATTGCTAGAGCTGCACATGGCAGCCAATCAATACATACTTGTTTTCCTTTTCTGTTGTTCAAATGACATTTTCAGCAAAATGGTTAGACAGTTTGCTGCCAAACAGATGGCAGTGGACTGTCCAAGTTTAGTATTAGAAGGAATTAGAAGGAATGATGACTGGAAAATATCCAGCTATTTTTGGATACATATTGGAATGTTGTTTTAAATAAAAATATGATTTACTGATCTTGCTCTTTAATGTAAGTAATTTCCACTGTCAGATAATAGCAAAAGGCTAACGATCTTACATAAGTGACTTTAAAAGTTCTATCTTTAGGGACAAATAGCTACTAAGGAACTATGTGGTGATTCATTTACAAAATTCACTTCTATAGAAATATCTCATCCATTAGAAAAGAGGAGGATATTGGATGAGTAGAGAGGTAAGCAGAGGATGGAAGAAATGTGTTTTTGATTATCAGCTATGCAAAATTGTTGTGACAGTGTACACATGCTATTCCATTGGCTATTGAAGAGTGTGTGTGTGTTTATAAATAAATATCCATAAATATATATTTATATATATAAATATATATAAAATAAAGAATACTGATAGAACTTGCTTTCATTGGAAAAAGTATGATGTCCTTTTTTTAAAAAAAACCTTTGCTTTGTTGGGATATGAGTTAATTTACATTCTCATAGCAATAATGTACATTAATTTCCTCCTGTCTTCTCTTAACAAGAATTTGGCATGTTTGTGATTTAGAAACTTTCTTTCTTTAGAAAATAAACATAAGACATAAATTATATGAACTTCCATGTTTTTTTAATATAAAATATTTGGGCTTTAATCAACTCAGATCTTTTTAATTCCATTTAAAATACCTTTAAATATGATATGCTACAATATAAATAATTTTAAAATATCAATACTAACATAGACATATTCACCAACTTCACTTTATATATCAAATTATAAAGAACTTTAAATAAAACATGTTTATAAACATATTTGCCTTTTATCCCGTTACCCAGGTGAAATTTATGTAGACAAAATGGCTGTTTTTAGCTGTGGTATGATTATAAAAATCAGTAATATTATAAACAAAATAAATTAAATATTTCATAGTTGCTATCTAAATGTAAACTGTAATATCATAGCAACATTCTAATGGAAAAATCCAAAAATCTTTTCTATATTTTCAAGAAATATCACTGCATCTTGCTCAATACTCTTCTATTGTGCAGACATAATAAATAATATTTGTTATTTCTTTTGTTACTTATGCATAGGCTGGCCCATGGTATCATAAGAGGAAAATATCAGCAGGAATTTTTATTGACATTTGCTTGGTCTGCTTTTGCTGTTTCTACAATATTAAAACAAGACAAGTATATATCCTAGAGCAAGAGTGTCAAATTCGATTTCACTGAGGGCCGCTTCAGGTTGTGTTTGACCTTGGGAGGCTGGAGTCGGGCGTGCCCAGGGTGAGCTCCATTTTTGGCCCTGACAGCCTCCTGCAACCCTCTGCCAATGAAAATGGAACTCTATTTTCCCTGGCAAAGCTACTGCGGGTTGGTCTTTCGCTGTTTCCAGGGCAGATCTAAGCACCCGCAGGCTGGATCTGGCCAGTGGACCTTGAGTTTGACACCCCTGTCCTAGAGGGAATAATAAAATTTCTGTTTGTGGAAGAAAAAGGATAATGACAAGAAGAAAAAAGTTTCCTGATGAGAAACAGGTTCTAAATAGAGGACAACACTGGATTAGATCACCTTTAGCCAATGCAGCTGTAGGTGTAGCTTTAGATTAACCTTATTGTCCGTGTAAGTTGAACAATCAATTCACATGAGAGATGTATCTTGGCAAAACATGTCATTATAGTTTTGGCATAGGGACTTCACTAGAAATTAATTATCTCACTACAAATATGCTATGTTCACCAATAATTGGGCATACTGACTGAGAAATCTGTGAATTGTAGTCAAAAACATATGGCTGCCTCTAGAATGGTAAAGGTTAAGAAACTTTAAGCATTTTACTCTCTTCTTAAGATATAAAACAAAGAGAATTTTTGTTTTTAGCTAACAATGTTGCTCGTAACGTAGAATCCTAGAAACATTGGTTAATTTTCAGTATAGTTTAGAGTAGGAATTGGCACCTCATTGGTTCTATGTATTCAGCAAACGTCTTTTTCTTCAATCCACAATGATTACTGAAATTTGGTGGCAAATCAAGAAATGGGAGAGACATCGCTTTCAATTGTTTTCCAGAAGAATTAAAGAAAAAGAAGAAAAAAGGTGTTTTAGGATAGACTTTAAGGAAGTAAGAACTATTCTCCTGCTCTATTCATGTGGCATTATTATGTTATGGATGAGTTCAGAAAATTTTCTACCAGGGACATAGTGGTAACGCTGCACACTATTACTATACTTTTTTAGTATGTACGTATTGGATATTTGACATTCGTCACATAATTGGCCCTGGTGTAAAACAAAATGCAGGAACCTACTGTTGTATACTTAGGGTAGGTGGTTCTGGATTGAAAAAAAAATAGACAAGCACCACTTGGCAACATTTCTGATTTTTATTGTGGCAGGGAGCCTATATATTAATCAGTGAGAATATATTTTCTATGTAAAATAAAAAGGAAGGTGCTGCTGGTATGGAAATCTTTTTATTTTATCCAATTTAAATATTTTTAGTAAAGGAGTGCCTCCCACAGTGTATGTGATCATATGAATATAGTCAAGAGCAAGAATGCATTTGATATTCATTGTAATGAAAGATGCTAAAGTGTATTGCAATATAGTATGGTAAATACTTAATTGAACTGAAAAGCTTAATGACTTCATGTTACCATTTTTCCATGATGTTTGCTGTGAACACACAGTTTAAAAAGGTATTTTTAAAAAGCCTGTGATGGAGTTGTTTGGGATATAGTCAGGGTTTGGAAAAGTAAAACCTTTGATGTAAGATCAAAGACAAAATGGTAAACATCTATTTTGCTTATGAATAAATTGAGCGTTTAGTCAACATCTGAGAACATCTTTGGAGTAAAACTCAATCCAATGTTTTTTCCCCTTCACTTGAACTGAACTGTTTTAAGGTACATGTTGCAATCAGTGTTTATCTGTGCCCAGTCTAGATGTCAAGCTAGGATACAATCTGTATCAGTTTTGGAGATCATCAGAGTTGTTTGACAGAGTTTAACTTCCTGGGATGTGTCTCTCAAAACTCTTGTTTCCTCATTTTAATTATGACACTCTTTCTTTACAGTAACTTCTCCAGAAATAAGCTTTCAAGTTTGTCCAGGAAGACTTTCCGCCATCTGAATTTGACAGATCTGTAAGTAATTCCTTTTCTGAGAAATCAAGTTGTTATAATGAATGTTTATTAGCATTATTACCAGGCATAGTATTTTAGTATTTAGATACTAGCAAGAAAACATTTAAAGTTTATGTTTCTAGGAAAACTAAAATTTGTTTTACAGTATGGTGTGTTTTTAATATGTGTGTTGGTATATGTGTGTATTTAACATATGGGATACAGTCCAAGGAACATATAGTTGAGGGCCTCTTGTGGCTACTCTTCCAAGCATCAAAATAATTTTGTGTTTAGGCTAACCACATTGGAGCAAGAATATTTTCACTTTACAGCTAGTCCTGGAGTTTGCTTCAGTTACTATACAAACTAATGGTTCCTTAACTCTGAACTAGTCATTAGTCCATGTTTGGATAGTATGAAAAATTGCTACCAGTCCAGGTAAACAAAGAACAACCCATGATTATAGACTGAAGATAATAGGTAATCCTAGGGTTCCAATCACTAATTCAATGACTGTTCAAAGGTTCAGTGGTGCTGAATTAGTGGTACTTATGATTAGTCCTTGAAGTTATACTTGTGCAGCCCCTGACAGACACATGATTTGGGCAGTTGGCAACCAGCTCTCACGTAGGAAGTTTGCAACAGTCACCATTGGGGCCCTTCCTGATGGCTTTTCATAAGGAATGTCAATGAGAAAGCTGGCAGGGAAGGTTGCAAAGCATTCCTGTAAGTCAACTCCTGCTTTTTCTCCTGAGGATCCACATTAATGAGTAAGGGATTCCAGGGATCTCATACTCCATAGTGCCTGCCCAGAGCACCCCTCTTGTTTGCATTCCATAGCTCATACCCCCCTGGCTATATTTGCACTGTAGCACTTTGCCCTCTATTTGCCTGATTGAATTTGTACTGGGTCAAAGCACCACCTCACACCACTCTGCAGCACTCACTCCGCACCTGCTGCACCGTGGCACCACCTGTGCACCTGCTGCAGTCTGTAATTGCTAAGCTTCCTACTGAGCTACACTGATACCACACTGCAGCATCCACTGCCTGCTTGTCTAGCTTCACTTGTGCCTTATTGCAACACCTACTCCCCCGCCTGGCCACTCTCTGTAGACTATCGTTTGTCATATAGCCTAACATCCATCTAGCCAGTTAAAAATAAAAAATTAAGGTAGTAGAAATCAATCTGGAAATGTATAGAAATTCATGGGAGTCATCTTGCTAGGTTGATTTCTGTTTCTGACCAGAAGTACCATGGTGCCTATGTCATTTACTTAAAATTTCAAATTTGCTCCTTGTCCCAGAAGATCAGAATCTAGCTGCAAGTTTGGTAGTTAAAACTCTTCCTTTATATGATCTACAATACCTGTTCAAATCCACTCATTTTTCCTTGCACAACAGAAGTGTTATTATCCACTGTATTTCTACAGTTAATTTCACAAGTGTCATATTTATCAGATAGGAAGATATTTTTCCTAAACAATTAGAAATCAAAGCATATTCATATAGGCCAAAATTGTAGCAATTATTTTTTTGTAAACGGGCTACTATATTTTATAGACAGATAATTGTAAGTTATTAATTCCATTTATTTTCTGGACATTTCTACACAAATATATATGCACAAAAACATACTAGCACATCCATCCATTTACTGGAGAGGGAGAAATCTCCAGATTTGGAAGCTATTTGTGGAGTTTCAGATGCAGGTTTGCTTTATTTTGGGGGTAAATACAATATTCTGTGATGTGAGAAATAAATTCTGAAATTCTGTTCCCACTCTTTTCCAATTAAAGTCTAATTGAGCTGAGAATAGAAATTGTTTGGTATAGTTGTATATTTATACTGAGATTTACTTGCTTTCTTTTCTCCTATACACCACTGAAAGCAACTATTATTTCTCCAAAACAGGTGGAAATAGATTGCTTAACATTTTCAATATATTAGCATAAATTTGTCAAACCTACAAAACTCTCTCTTTGATCTGAATATTTATTTGAGCTGATCTACTCAGACAGCTTCAAAAACATCTGAACTGCTGTGAATTTTCTATGAGATTACATTGACAGAAGGATCTGGAAGACCAAATCAAATGTTCTGCCTGTAGATTGTTATAATTAGCGCTGAATTGTTTCATCTTAATAAAATGTCTTAGGGGCAACAAGTGGTACATCAATGAATTAGCTCATGAAATATAGGTTTTGCTTTTATGAGCAAAGCTGAGATAATGCTCCTTGCCAGACATCTGGACTTTTTGCTGTTTCTTTTTTATTCTAGCTTCTTTATATATTAAGTACAAGAAATACTTTAAGTACCTAATTAAACAGGCTTTCCTGGAGGTGCTAATTTTAAGTGGGTAATAAAGATTCCATTTTAATTCCTCAGTGTGAGCTTGTATATTCTTCTAAGCCTTAGAGCCCAGTATGTGTTGTTGTTGTCTTAAATGTTAGTTAAGCCATTTTTGCATTTGTTCCAAGGGTGTCATAGATGATTTCTTTTTCAAGACTTCGCATCTTTTGCTTGAAATAAATTTCTGTGATGTTTGACCATAAGGGGGAGCTCAGTTTATCCACAATAATAGAAAACATCTAAAACTGTATTATGGGACACTGTATACTGAGAATTAAATATGATTCTTGTTCATGGTCCGGTATAATTTTTTTTCTACTGAATTGAAGAAAATAGCATTCTTTTCTTCCTAGTCAAGACCAGATTTTTGAGCTTCAACTTTAACCCTAACCCTGCTTCTCTTCAAATGTGTCTAAACTAGCAACACTGGCTAAGAATTTTAGGAATTGTAGTCCTAACACATTTAGAGGGGATCAGATTGTAGATTAAACTAGATAAATGGATTAGAAACTATTTTGGGCATAATCAAACAAAGAGAGTTTGGAACCTCATTTTAGAAGAGACATTCCCTTTCACAATAGATGCAAACAGGGAATATATTCTGATCCAATGAATGTTGTGAGATCTATGTAAGTACTATTTTATTAATATATAGACAGCTGACTAGTATACTAAAGCTCAGGAGCCACCATGCAAATGCCTGTATTATATTTAAATATCCACATATGAATCAGTGGAGAAATAAATAAATTATTTACACAGGAAGGAAAAGTGTTTTCTCTTATCCTAATTGTAGACCAGATCAGAGACAAGTGTGATTCAATGTGCTTTTTATCTGCTGTTTTTGTCACTATTTAGACTTATCCAGTCTTATTTGATTTGATTTGTCAACTGTTATTTGGGGGATTTTTTCTTAAAAATCTTGATATAAATTTAACTTTTTTGTTGTAGGATTTTAGATGGCAACCCTTTCAAGTGTTCCTGTGATATTATGTGGATCAAAATATTCCAAGAGATCAAGTTTCCAAAAGCAGAAACTCAGGATTTTTACTGCATAAATGACTACAACCAGAAGATATCTCTGCTGGAAAAGCCAGTCCCATATTGTGGTAATGCACTTTTATGAAAATAATTAATGCCTACATTTAAGGCTGTTAAAAATGGAGTACAACAGGTTAAGCTCTGCCTCTGTTTAAACTCATTAATTTTGGTAGAATCTCAGAGATATGAATGGATTTTTTTATTTTAAAAACAGGTTTTAGTTTTGATTGGGAGATAGGTAAAGGTCATATGCAGGGTGCTTATATTGAATCATGATTAATAGGATTTAAGTTATTGCTTGATTATCTGCCTGAAATAATTCTCTGACTTTTATAATTTTTCAAATTCATTTTGGTGATACAAATATTTTCTTCCAAAATGTACTCTTACAGTATTTCTAGTTTATCTAATGAAGTGTTGTTTCTATTATAAGAACATTGAAAACTGTTCATGTCCTGTTATTCTATAAATAAAACTGTTGGTTAAAACTGAAACAGATAATTGTAGGTTGAATGAACTCAGGATTTGTTTCCACTTCAGAAAGTTTTGCTTTAAAAAAATCATAATTTTAAACATTTCAAATATCACAAAATTTTCACTTGCATCTAGAATAAAATAAGCTATTCTCCATCACGTAGCTCTAGAGTCCAGTATTGGGTATAACTCCACCCTCTTATGATGTGAGCTGAGTCTGCCACTATAAAAGGTTCGCCTCTGCTGAGAGTCCCAGCTTTTCGACTCAGTTCTTGGACATATGAACTATTGTCTCTGAGTTAATTAGCATTCCAAAAGCATTGAAAAAAAGAAAAAAGAATCATCAAGATCGAGAGAAACTCTCAGGGCTCTGGTAGAGCTTTGCTCACAAGGAGAGTGGGGATCCTCTCTCCTCCAGTTGCAGCTGCCTCAGCAAGGCACTGACACGCAGACAGTAAGTATGATTGGCCAAAACTCCGCAGAACTTCCCTCAGACTTGCTAGAGACTAATTAACATCAGAACAGCCTCTTATGCAGCTTTTCCCTGGGCCGCATGGCTTGTAAAAACCTCCCGAGGTTGCACAAGTCTTCTGGAAGATTTATTAGGCCATAAACTATCAAAGTTTTACAATAGCTGCCCTCCTGGTCTGCAGTGATTAGGCCTGATCCCAACCAACCTCCTTTCTACTGCTGCATTGATTGGAGGGGCAATCTTCCTTCTATGAAGATATTAATCTGGCCATTATAAATTGCCAAACAAAGGCCACAGCACAAAGCCCCAGGGATTCAAAGGTGCCACAGGGATCATCGAAGGCCTCAAGGCCCCTCACCTCGTGGCTGGTGGCCATTTTATGATCGAGTTCCTCTGGGCGGCATTTTTAGTGGGTCCCGAGGCAGTGATCCTATCTCTCTCTTGGCCATTTAGCTTGGAAAACACCATCAGGAGGAGCTGACAGCACCTCCAGTGTTTCTTCCTTGAGCAATGGAAATAGATTGGGTTCAGCCAGGACCATCAGGCATGCAGAGCATTCAGACCTCTCAAGCCCCCAAAAGGGTTATGAAAAGAAAACAACCACGAGGTCATTCAGCCAACAGGGAAGCTGCAGCAAAGATCAAGGCCAGGGCCCTAACCCCCAAGAAGGCCTCCAAGTCTGAGCTTAGGGCAGAAAAGAGAAGACATGAGGCTTTAGAGAAACTAGTGGTCCAAAATGAGGTTCTCCCATCTCCCTTGTTGTTCTTGGATGTAGTAAAGGACCAGTGTGAGATCCCCCTGTCAGAGCCTTGCCCTTCTTCCCAGGACAAGAGGTTCTTTAATGTAGGTCCCGCCTTGGCTAATGCATTAGCTCTCCCAGCAGTAGATTCCCTGGTGGTAGGTACCCCTACGGAACTGGAGGATGTTTTACAACTGGAGGACAAAACGTTGGAACAAACTCTGAAGTGCACACACCAGGCCACAGCTTGGGCCGTGAAAGCTTCCACCGCAGCCTCATTTTTTACCAGGTCATCTATTCGCTGGATTCATCAACTTCAGGACAGAGTTCTCATTGCCAATGTTAGGTCCCACCAAGACCTCAACAAAATAATAGTGGCAGACAAGTTCACCGCTGACACCACTTTAAGCTCCGCCAAATTCACCACAAAGGCAGTGGCCTCTTCCGTGTCTGCCAGGTGCCTGCTCTGGATGCGCAACTGGCAGACCAACTCCAAGTGTAAGTGTAAGTTGGCGGCGGTCCCTTGCTCAGGAGAAAACCTCATTGGAGCAGCCTTAGAGCCGTACATGGTAGAAACAGGAGACAAGAGAAAGGTGCTGTCTACTTCCTCCAAGGGGTCAGATTTTCGACGCACCACATACCCCGGAACGCAAACCTTCAGGCCAGTCAACACCCCTTGCTTCAGTTGCAACCAGACAACGTATCCCTCTCATTGGGAACAACAGCAGGACTGCCAACCCAAACAACAACAATTCTCAGGTAAGCGGCCCTTTCAAGGGGAAGGAGGTCATTCATTCAGGTGCTCTAATAACTGCATCCACTCCCTTTCCATTGGAGGTCATTTGACCTTTTTTAAATCCAGATGGGAGAAATCAACTAACAATGCCTGGGTCATCAGTACAATATCATTGGGCCTTCAACTCGAATTTCTCTCCCCCCCTCCATCGTTTTTTGTCAGGTGTCCTACCTCTCGTGACACATCTAAACGGGCCCCGATGGACTCAGTTATCCATCACCTGATGGACATCAGAGTCATAGAAAAAGTTCCATGGGATCAGTGGGGGTTGGGCTTCTACTCCCACCTCTTTGTTATCCTGTTGGCCTCGGGCGGGGAGGAGTGGAGAGCAATCCTTGATCTCAAGCTCTTGAACAAATTCATCCTATACAGGCATTTTAAGATGCAGACCCTACATTCTATTCTTCAGAGTGTTTGAGAGGGCAACCTCCTCTCTTCCATAGACCTCACGGAGGCTTACCTCCATATCCCAATTTGGCCTCCCCATCTCCAGTTCCTCCGTTTTTCTTATTGCAGTGAGCACTACCAATACCGGGCCCTACCATTTGGCCTTTCATCGGCACCAAGGGTTTTTACTAAGGTCTTGGAATCATTGGCAGTCCTCCTCCGAGCCTTACCTGTGAGGGTCCAATGCTACCTGGATGACATTCTGATTCAATTTACCTCCGTCCAGATGGCCAAATGAGATCTTAAAATCATGATGCAGGTGTTTCAGGAACATGGTTTCTCCATCAAACTGATCAAGAGCCATCTTTCTCCAATGACCCGACTGTTGCACTTCGGGGTCATCATCGACACAGTCAGCTGCAAAGTCTTCCTTTCACAGGACCGACAGAACAGCATCAAAGAGTTGATCAACAGAATTCGACTAAGTCACTCCGTTCCACTCTCCCTCCTGTCCCAGTTGCTTGGGAAGATGATCTCCTGCATCGAAGTTGTGCCATGGGCATGCCTAAATGCACGCACCTCGCAGTGGTTCCTCCTCCCCTTCCAAAGAGAGGGGATCAGTCATTCTGCCCGCAGGGTGCTGCTTTCTCCATGGGTGCTTCGGTTCTTTTGATAGTGGCAGTCCCAGGCCATCACAAAGGGTCATCCTTTTATGGTGAGAGACAGAATTGTAGTGACCACAGATGCCAGCCTTCTTGGCTGGGGAGCACATATCCAGGGCCAGATGGCCCAAGCACACTGGCCGTCTTTAGACATGTCCCTTCCCATCAATCTCCTGGAGCTCAGGGCTATTTTTCTCACCCTGAGAAGTTTCGAGAACCTAGTGTCAGGGTCCCATGTGTTAGTCACGACAGGCAATATAGCAGTCAAGGCTCATGTCAACAGGCAAGGAGGGACCAGATCCAGGGGTTTGATGCACGAGGCAGAACATCTGGGGAGATGGGCAGAGAGGAACCTCTTGTCTCTCAGGATGGACCATATTTCAGGCGTCGACAACTCCCAGGCAGACTGGTTGAGTCGATCTCAAGTCGACTGCTTGGAATGGAGACTCCATCCTCCCCTGTTGTCCCACATTTTTGGTACTGTAGAGGTGGATCTCTTCGCCACTCCCCAGAACGCACAGGTAAACAGGTTTTTTTCCAGGTTCCCAACCCAGGGAGAGGAGGGGACCAATGCACTTTGGAGCAGATGGCCCCAAGGTCTCCTCTATGCCTCCCCCCCTTCCAATCATCCCGGCAGTCATCTGGAAGATTTTGGAGGAAAAGGCAGAGCTGATTCTGCTGGCCCCATATTGGCCCAGGAGACCCTAGTTTGTGGACCTGGTGAACCTGTCTGTTCAGAGGCCTTGGAAAATCCCCGCCTCTTGGATCTCTCTCAGTCAGGGGGCCCTTCTGCATCCGGAACCCCATTGGTTCCAGTTGACCTCTTGGCAGTTGAGTGAAAGTTGTTGAAGGAGGCCAACCTTTCAGATAGTGTAATTAACACAATACAGGCTTCACGTAAGAAGTCTACAACCTGACTTTACGATGCCACCTGGAGGAAATTCAGTGACTGGTGCTCGGAGAGAGCCCTTAACCCTTCTTCAGCATCTGTTCCAGAGATCCTTCAGTTTCTCCAGGATGGGCTGGACAAGGGCCTCACGCTTAACACCCTCCTCAGGCAGGTGGTGGCCTTAGCTTCAGTAATTTCATGGGACAGGTACACATCCCTCTCCCACCACCCTTTGATCCATAGATTTCTGAGGGAAGCCTCAAATCTGTGACGACCCATTGTTCATAGGTATCCCACTTGGGACTTGCCTAAGGTTCTCCAAGCTCTCTCGGGCCCTCCTTTTGAGCCTTTACGAACGGTAGGCCTCCGTATTTTAACTCTGAAGTTATCCTTTTTGATGGCTATTACATCAGCCAGGAGGGTGTCTGAATTAACTGCCCTTTCAGTAAGGCCAGATTTGTTTATGTTTCATGACAACCGGTGTTTTTGTGCCTGGACCCTTCATTTGTACAAAAAATTAACTCTTGGTTTCACAGAGCTCAAGACATTGTTCTCCCTGACTTTTGTCACAAACCCCGACATGTATTGGAACGTCAGTGGCACACATTGGACGTGAAAAGGGCACTCAAGATTTATATCAAACAAACTG